CATAATGGCAGTATAATTAGACTGAGCCTAAAAAATCATCTAGGAAATGAACTAGATGAAACTTATCTCTTGAATATGTTTTTCTGATGAAGTGTCAGAGGAAAGGATATATTTGTTATTTGACCAGCAAAATATCATTAAATCAAGCATATTGTACCAATCAAAACTGCTTACAATGCACAAACTAGAGTTTGATTTTTACCCTTAGACATGAATCCTAATAGAGAACCTGCACCTTAATAACCCTTCGGGAGTTCGGTAATAGAGCGCTGGATTCTGGCTCTTTGTTTTCAAACTTACACTGTGGTTGGCCAGGAGGCATGCTTTCTTGTTAAAGAAAATAAAAAGATACGAATTTTCATCATGAACTAGAAGGGGCTTCAAGAGATCTGCTATCTACCGTTGGGGAAAAAAATGACTTAAGGTCATTTCTAGAAAGCAAAATGATTATTTTTTGGTAGATGTTCTACAGTTTATTTGGCTTTATAGGTAATATCTCCATCTAACAGTTCAATTCATTTAATTGCTTAGGAATACAGTTATGCAGTTAATTGATTGGGGAGGGTTGGTGGGTAAACAATACTGCTAAAATAATCTATAAAGTCTTCCTGACCTGTTTGTAGCATGACAGGCAATTTTTAAGTGATAATTCTGATGTCCAGATTCTGATTTGCAGTATTTAATGAGAGCCTACCGAATTGGATATATTTGTTTTCCATATTTTCATAGGTGGAGCGATTTAGTCAGGAGGTGCAGGTTCCAGAGGCTCGCTGTTTCTATGGCTTTCAAATTCTCATCGAGAATGTCCACTCAGAGATGTACAGTTTGCTAATAGACACGTACATAAGAGATCCCAAGAAAAGGTATCATCGCTGAGATTTTATTTACAAAGGTTTATCCTATTGCTTGATTATGTTAAGAGCAAAATTTACTCTAAAACTAAATGTTAGAGAAATATTATTCAAATATAGAAGTTTAGGAGTATAATGTTTTCTATTGCCTAATAATGGGTTAAAAAAAACCCAAAAAACTTGTGCAGAACCTGTTAGTCTGGGGAGCATATTCTGTTTAGCAATTGAATATTTGAATTGGGTCAATTTTGTATCAAATCACATCCAGACCACTAACTTGAGTTTTACTTTCATTTTTATATTTTATGGACATGCAAAAATACAGAAAAATTACAGATCTGGTAGTATACCATAGAGTTGCAATTATTATCTCTTATT